TGTCAAATTCTTTTGCTGCACATATCAAGGTAATCATCATGTGATTTTCTCCTTTTCTGTTAATGTACTGTATCACATTGGTTGATATTCACATGTTTAACCACCATTGCATCCCAGAAATGAGTCCACTTAGTCATGGTGTATAATCCTGTCGAAGTGCTATTGAATTTGTTTGGCTAATATTTTGTTGAGGAGTTTTGCACCTATATTCATTAGGAATATTAGCCCATAATATTCTTTTTTTTTTCTCTTGTAGTTTATTTTTTCTGAGTAATTCTGGCCTCATACAATGAGTTTGGAAGTGTTCTATCCTTTTTATTTTTTTGGAAGAGTTTGAAAATTATTGGTATCAATTATTCTTTAAATATTTGGTAAAATTAACCAGTGAAGTCTGGTCTTGAACTTTTCTTTGTTGAAATCGTTTTGATTATTGATTCTATCTCTTTTTATTATTGGTCCATTCAGGCTTTGTATTTCTTCTTGATTCAGTTTTTTTAGGTAGCATATTTCTAGGAATGTATTTATTGTATTTCTAGGAACGTTTGTTATCACACTATAGCCAAGACTTTCCTAACTAATGAATATTTCGTGAGTAAGCATTTATTTTTTTCTGGAAATAACAGTGCCTCATTAAAAAGTCTTACTTTTTCATTTATTTAATTAATTCAACAAATAAAATTGATTATATATCTATACAAAATAAATAAAAAACTTGCTTTATTTTCTCTGCCTCTGTCAGAAATTCAACTCCAAACTCTTCACCAGAAATATAAATGTCTTCTCAATATTCTTTGTCTGAGTCTCTATTAATTTCATCTTTCTGGAGGGGACTTTCCATCCAAGGGTTGTCTCTAAACTCTTGCACAACTGTCTTCCTGGAGATACCCTTCACCTCTATTCTGTGGAACATAAATTCTCTGGTTTCTGCAACTCAAATTGGCAAGGATTTTTACTTACTATTTCAACATCTATTTTCCTAGTTAATAGATTACAATCCCATGCCTCCTTTTCAGTAGGTTAGCTCTTTAACTTATTCCTGGCCAATGAGACGCAAGCAGTAAGGTTGTGTGTGACCTTCGAAAAATGTTCATCCTTCCTGTCCTTTCCTACACTAGGATTTCTCAGTCTTGGCACTGTTGACATTTTGGACTGTATAATCCTTTCTTGTGGGCATCTGTCCTGTGCATTATAGTGTGTTCAGCAGCATCTCTGGCTTCTACCTACTAGATGCCAGTAAAACCTTCTATCCCAACTGTGACAATTGGAAGTATCTTTGGACATTGCCAAATGCCTCCTAATGGGGAGAATCACCCCAGTTGAGAACCATTGCCCTATACTAGTGATTCTCAAACTTGAGTATGAATCAGAATCACCAGGATAACTTGTAAAAACGCAGATAGCTGGGTCTTCTTCCTAGAGTTACTGATTTAGTAGTTCTGGGTCAGGCTTGAGAATTTGCATGTTCCCAGGAAGTGCAGTCTGGGGACTGCACCGTGAGAACTGTTGATCTGTACTACCTTGCCTTGCAGATAAACCTGTCATTCCTACAAAATAAATATAACAATAGAAGTATGACTATAGGCCATTAAGGTAAATCATAACAGTGGAGTTCAGGAGGTTAGAAATTATGCTATTACAAGAAATTGGAAGGCAACTGCAAAATTTGTAATTTATGCATCAGATGAATAGTTCGTTTGTTTGCTCTAAGTTTAATAATTTTTCTCAAACAATATTACTCATAGAGATGGACAAAATGAAAAGAAACAATCTTAAAAGAGATGATAGAGATGACAGCAATTAATCTTATTAGTCTATAAGGTATGTGTTCACCCATCTTTATTCATCATTTTCCGAGTTGTTCTTGTTAAATTTTCTGTGGTAAATTTTACATATATTTCAGGGGCCATGTAAAAAAACCTATACAACCCCTTTCATTTAGTGCCACATAATTTTTAATACCTTAACTCAATAATTTGTGTTGGAACAGCAGAAAATTGCTTGAATTAGTGCTGTACATATTTTTGCAGACTGGAGAAAGAATATAAATAAATCACGATGGCCTGAATTTCAGTGGAGGTTAGTATTTAATCTTCTAGGTTTATAAGACATGACAGAAGTCTGCAGAGGCATTTTGAGATCATAACTTTTTAGCACTAATCAGTGCCTGCCTGGTATGCCTGATGCCAGCATTTAATTGTAGCCAAGAGAATTTGAGAAATGCACAGATCTATCCCCACACCAGCAAGATACAAACAAAATCAATAGCCCTGTGCTGGCAACATTATTTTATTGTTGTCTCCTTAATCTCCTCTACTCTTTTGCAATTACTTTTATTACTACTGCTCATTTAATGAGACCATGGATTTTGGAGCCAGATGGTACAATTAGTTAAATCTGGAAGACTCTAACGGAATTGAGTTCAAATCAGGTTAAAGGTAATAAAGTTACAAATTTTGCTGGTCATCACCTCATGGCACACTGTTCTGTACCTGTTACACACCAGAAATTAGTAAGGGTTTCAAGCAGAAATAATTGGATTAAAATTCAGAGAGACTACCTGTGCTTACTCGCTCACTCATTCATTCAACAAATATTTACTTATATTCTACCTGGGTCCTTTGGGATAACATAAAAAGGATAGTCATGGTCACTGCCTCATTGAGCTTGGAGTCTACTCAAGGAGAAAGACAATATCAAGAAAACAAGCAAGATCACTATGCATTTGTGACACTAGGAAGGGAGGAGGCAGGGAATAGACTAGAGCAGTTTAGGTTGGTACTCATTTGGGGAAGCTCTCTGAGGAAGTGCTATTAAAGCTGAGACCCAAATAGTGGGAAGGAGTTGATTTTGGGGAGAACAAGAGAAATGTCATTACTGTTTGTTGGAATGAATAGTAGGTGCAAAGACCTTGGGATGAAAGTCACTTGGTGTTTCCAAGGAACACAAGGACACCCAGTGAAGAAGGGAGGACAGCCAAAGATAAAACTGGAGAATGCCTAGGAACTGCTAGACCAGAGTTGTGATTGAGTGATGAAAGGGCATTTGACCCTGAGACTATCTGGTGACTTTAAATACATCTTTGTGTCAAAATGCTGATGAATAAGATTTGTAGAAAGAATGCCTCTTGGATCGAGGCAGTAAACATTCATGGGAGCATCATGATCAGGTCAGTGTGTGAATCATCACAATCATAAGTTTGTCCCCTTGAGAAGAGGACAGGTAAAACTGAGATCATACTTTGATTAATAAAGTTGTCTTATGTAGTAGCAATAATTTAAACTTTGCATCGTTGCCCCTCCTGTAGGGTATATCTTTTGTGTTAAAATCTTCTTGTGCTCCTTCTTTTGAAGACCATTGCTCTTCCCCCAGTGTCCCCTGGTAAATGGCTACTGTCCTTGTCTTAGGGTTGTCCTTCCTATTTCTTTCATCCTGGGTCGAGGCTCCTTCTTTCCTGTTGGATGAGTATGCATCTATCAAGGCCAAGTTCAAAGAGACCCATGACATTCTGGGCACTGAGCTTAAGAGAAGAAAACAAAGTACCAGTGTCCCCACCATCCCTAACAAGTCTTTTTTCAGCCTCTCTTTGAATTCTTACAGGGATTTGTGCTTCCTATGGTGACACTTACATTTGCCTCGATATGAAGGGTAAGCTAGGTGATTACTTCATTTAAGATTTTCTCTGCACCTGTTGCCTTCCACATAGCAAATACTAAAAATATTATTGAACTGCATCTTACAAGTAGCTGTATTTATTGAGCAATTAATTTGCAAAGTAATTTTCTGAGGGCTTTTTATTTAATCCTTAGGTGATGGTTGATTTATGTGTAAATTTGGCTAGGCCATGGTACCCAGATATTTTGTCAAATACTATTCTAGATGTTTCTGTGAAAGTGTTTTTAAAATGGGATTGACGTTTAAATTAATAGACTTTGGGTAAGGCAGTTACTCCTCATTATGTGGGTGGGCCTCATCCAATACGTTGAAGGCTTGAATTTAAAAATGACTGACCTCCCTGGAGCAATAAGAAATTCTGCCAGCAGACTGCCCTTGAACTGAAACTGCAGTTCTTGCCTGGGTCTTCAGCCTGCCAGCCTACTCTGCAAATTTTGGACTTGATAGCCTCTATAGCTGTAAGATCCAATTTCTTAAAATCTCTCTCTGTCTTCTTCCATCTTTTGCTTTCTTTCTCTGGAGAACCTTAACTAAGAACACACCTGCCACTTAACCAATGATCACCATTTTATAGATGAGGAAATTGAGATCCAGAGGTGTTCAGTACCATGTCTAAGGGTACACACCTGGTAAGTGGTACAGCTGAGATCACAGTCCAATTTTTCTGATCCATGACACAGTGCAGTTTCTCATGCTTGAAATCAACAAAAGAGAACACAGTGACATACATACAACACTAACTGTGTTTCTTATAAAGTATCTCTCATTTTTAATGTCTCACAAATTACCTTGGGATCTTATGGTGCATGAGAATTTTCAATATGTAAATACTTTATTATCCAGGTGACATGCAAAAGCATCTAGTAGCAGAGAAGGTTGGTTAATAGGATGGTGGGACCCAGCTTTTTACTGCACATGTGCTTGTTTGAAATATTTAGGACTCTTATATAACATTCTCTTCTTTAAAGTCATAATTTCTAAAAAGCTATTGGAATACCTGTACAACTTTCATTAAAAGTCAACTGCAAGATCTTTAGAGCCATGAGAGGGAACATTAAATAGGGAACAATTTAAAATTAACTATTTTGTTGAATATAAGATTATATTCCCTCCTTCAAAAGAATGAAATTAAACTAGAGAGCAATGAGCAACACACATGGAGTCCTGAGCCTCTTGGTGGTTTTGCCGTGGGCTAAAGTCCCCTGGTGAGGTCTAAACTTCAAAAGTGGCCTCAAACTGGAACCTTTCCATAGGAAAAGTCAGCAGTGAATATTGACCCCAGGATCAATTGTTTCTGTTTAAGTTACAGAGAAAGCAGCCAGGTCTCATTTGATAAAGATACCTGCTCTTAGGAAGAATTATCACTTCCAAATCCATAGAGAGACAATATCACTAGCTCTGAATTAGAATTACTTTTTTCCAGAATGGAGAAGGTGGTGATGAAGATACTGCTTATGTTTGCTCTTGGAATGAACTACTGGTCTTGCTCAGGTAAGTTACTCAATGATGAGACCTTAATGATGCAAAGCCATCCTGGCCCATGCGTCTTGTCTCACTATGCCCCATGTGCTTACGTGTCCAGGTTTCCCAGTGTATGACTATGATCCATCCTCCTTGAGGGAAGCCCTCAGTGCCTCTGTGGAAAAAGTGAATTCCCAGTCACTGAGTCCATATCTGTTTCGGGCATTCAGAAGCTCATTAAAAAGAGTAAGTGCACAATGAAATCTTCTCTACATCTCTTTACACTGCTTTCTAGTTTTCCTTTTGTCAGTTTGTTGGTGACCCTTAAAAATTTTTTTTTTTTTACTTTTTTTTGTACTGTTTTTGATTGTTTGTCAAAGAAAAGATTCAATCACAATTTTTGTCATGAGACTCTCAAAGCCACTTTTGATGACTGATTCTCCTGCTGTATTCTCTCTAAACTTGTCTTCTGTTTCCATGAATTCTGCTTTTGTGTTTGAAGATATAAGTATATCCGAGGTGTTTTATGATGAATTTCTCATTTATCAAAAGTAAGCCTCCTTTCAAATTCAGCAGTTCTGGTCCTAATACTTATTGGAAATGAATTCTGGCTTTAGAGCCAAAGAAATCCATTCCCCTTTGTCAATTTGGCAATATTCTGTTTCCTGTTAGCCTTGGGAACTAGGGAAAGAGAAATTGCTTGGGCTTCTAGCCACTAAGTCTATGACAGACAGGGAAAGAAACGTGAAAACGTCTTTCAAAGGAAATGAGAAATAGGAAAAGGAAACAGGCAGCAATTCGCCTTCCACTTTCCTGTTTCCATGTAATTTCACTGCCCTGGTTATCATCTTCATGGGGTTCATTTGGAGGTAGGAATAGAGGTATCTTCAAGCAAAGTTAGATTAGGATGGGGGGTAGGGAAGGATCTATAAAGTTACAGTTCTTAAGAATGAAATTTCTGGGCAGCCAGGCAGCAGGCAAATAAGAATGGAGATGTGACTGGAAGTCCAGGCAACAGCTACTCCCTCACAGAGACCAGAAGTCCGTTGCTTTCTCTCTGCCTCCTCACTTCTATTGCTCCCAAGTTCCTTCTCAGGTCACACTTAGCTTGTTTGTTCTGCTACTCTGTAGAGCACATGGCTCATTGTTTCCTAGCCCTAGTCTCCACATGCAGCATATTCATCTTGATCTTCTTCAGAATGTGGCTCCATTTCTGTTTTCCAAATTTCAAGGAAATTAGTCAAATTGTTCTAGCTGTCTTTTGTAATTGGGTCTCAGGTTATGAAGACGGGTTATGCCTTAGTTAGGTGCCCATCCCAGAACCAGGCTATCATGGCCAGAGAGGATCATTTGGACCTAGATGTGGTGTGGAGGCACGGTAAAATATGTGTGGTCACACCAAAGGTTGAATTGCTTCTAGGAGAGTACTGGATCAGAATAAAGGAGCTCCTTCTTGCACACTGTTTGCATTGACTTCCAAATGCCATTTTCCATTGGCATTTAATGAAATCCACTTGTGGTATTGTAGAATCGATGTCTTCTTGCCAAGCTTTCAGATGAACAGTTTAAATTTACTAGTAATTTAGCTATTTCTCACTACAGAAGGAAGTCAGTAACTAATTAAATGAATAAGAGCACAGAGGCAAATCCCAAGAGAAACTTTTACTGACAATATGGAAATCTGGCATGTGGAGATGAACTACTGTGAGGCACAGCCACCCGGGTATGTCCTAGCATGTATGCCATCTTAGTATAGTCACTCAGACCTGAACTCAGACAAATATGTACCTAAAAATAAATATACTTATGTGTGATGTGTGTGATTCTTGTTGGGCACACAAATAAGGATACCTCTTTGCTTCAAGTGCACTGCTGCTCTGGAAATCTGCCTATTCTTTTTTTTTTTTTTAAGTGAGAAAGCAGGATTTATTGAAAGGACAGAAAAGCTCCCATAGCGGGAGGGGACCCGAAGGGGTTGCCTAAGTCTGCCTATTCTTGACTTTCCAAGCCTTTTTAAGTATTCAGATTCATTGACTGAGCTTCATTCTCTGTCCCCTTGCCTTTAAAATTCTATTTGAAAGGAGACCCTCCTCCTTTTATCTCTCCTGATGATATTTCTTTCTTTTTGAGAATATTTCACATTTTGCTTTCTGTTGTGTGTGTTAACCATGTCTTCTACAAACACCTTAGGATGGCTCCAAATATACCAATTCTCTCTATCCTGGTAGACATGGGATATACTAAGAGGCAAAGTACTCAGGAAAGAGCTGGGGGAACACATCACTAGCACTGAGGGTCCAAACAATTTACAAAAGAGGAAATACAAATGAGTACAGAACATTTGGGGAAATAATAGTAAAAAAAATCAAAATTAAAATAACAAGATTAAAAGAAAGAATAACAAGGTAAAAAATAAGTTGAAAGAGATACCTTGAACCCTGCTAGAGAGTGTGTAATATGGTAAAATTATCTTTGAAAAGCAATTTGGAAATATGTGTTAAGCATATTTACAAGCATGTTAAACATTGAAATTAGCAAATATTTTAAAGTTTTTGATCTCATAGTTTCACTTCTAGGAATATGTCCAAAGGAAATAAGTGGTTTAGCCATGTGTATATATGTGTGGGTATTTTGGGGTAAAGTTCAGTGGACTTAGGCAGAAGGGTCAGGCCCTTCTATTTTATCCCTTATATTGTTTAATAAGTCTAGTGATTCTGGATTCAGGCTGCACACAGCATCATCTGGGAGCTTTAAATAATCTTTACCTCCATCCCAGTCTCTGAGGATAAGGCTCATATTCTGAAATGCTGTCCTGGTTAATTCTAATGTGCAATCAGGGTTAAGAACTATTCGGTTTTACCAACAGATCCGGATAAAATTGTCTTATAATTAATTTCAAGTTGCTTACTTCTTGGACTCCAAGTTTTAAAAGAAGAGTTTTGGGTAAAGGCCACATGACTTCATCACTGAGAGTTTCCTTGCTCCAACCTCGACATTAGGCTTACTCAGACTGTTCGCACAGTGGACACAAGCAGAGAAAGGAAAGACAGACACAATCTCTGTGCTGGGGATGAGGAGGTGAAGAGGACGGACCAGCTGTGCTTTCACAAAGCTCATATTTTACTGGGGAAAGAGAGGGAAGACAAGGTGAGGAGGGAAGGGGAAGAAAAGGGAAGGGGGAACAAAAAGTAAATAAACCAAGTTTGTTTCAGATAGTGGAGTGTATTGTGGAGAAAAGAGAACAGGTTGACAGGTGATGGACCAGGGCTCGGGCAGCTGGCAGATGGGGCTGAAGTCTCCACTGGGTCTGTCATCCTTGTGCTAAGACTCACTCAAGAGAGAGGTTCCAGCCATGGAAAGACCTTTTGAGGAAATACCGAGGTTTGGTGGTAGAGTCAGTGGGAGGGCCCTAAAGGACAAATGAACTTGAAAGAAATTCTGGCTAGAGACAAGTGAGACAGGGAGAGAGGGAATGAGATCAGAGAGATAGGCATGAATGGAACATGCTTAGGTCATGATTTTGAAGAGTTTAGGGTCTGTTTTAAGGGTAGCCTCAGGGAGGTTTTAAATGAAGAAGACATTTGCAAATGAAGAAGTTATTTGCATTTGTAAAAAAAAATCTTTGTCTTACATATGGCTGTTTTAACAAAGTACCATAGACTGGGTGGCTATAAACAACAGCAATTTACTTCTCACAGTTCATGGTTTTGGCGAGGGTGCGTTGCAGACTGCTGATTTCTTGTTGTGTCCTCACATGACAGAAAGAGAGTTAGCTAGCCCTTCAGCCTCTTATAAAAACACGAATCTCATTCATGAGGGCCTCACCCTCCACACCTAATAGCCTCCCAAAGTCTCCACTTCCAAATCACATTGGGCATTAGAGTTTCAACATATGAATTGGGGAGGGGTCCACAAACAGCCTACTGCAATCTCTCCAGCTGCTGTGTTGAGTGGAGTGCAAGGGGAGAAGCTGAAATTGGTGAGATGCTGGTGTGGTGCCCAGGCAGGCAGTGATGGTAACTGATCCTTGCTTGAGTAGGGACAGGGAGAATGGGGAGAGCAGATAGATTTGGTACATTTGAAGGCAAAGCCATGGAGTTTGGGGATCCTTGATGTGTCCATATTTGTCCATTTAACCTTTCATCTTCTTTGCATTTTTGTTTTTTGACTTTCTAAGTTATTCTTAGTTGGCTAGTCCTGATCTTTATTTTTATTTATTAAAAAGAATTCATTTGAAAATCGTAAATGATCACTGTATTAGTCAGGGTTCTTCAGAGAAACAGAACCAATAAGATGTGTATGTGTGTGTGTAAACATACATATGTGTATAAATATATGCATGTATATATATATATATATATTTGCTTATATATGGATAAAAATAGAGAGAGAGAGACTTATGTTAAGAAATTGACTCATGCAACTGTGGAAGCTGGCAACCCCCTCTCCCCGAGTTAGATGAGGTAGACCAGCATGCTGGAGATTTAGGGAAGATTGGTAGTTAAAGTCCAAAAGGAGTCTGTTAGCAGAATTTTTTTTTGGTTGGGGGATTTCAGTCCTTGTTCTATTAACTGATTGGATGAACTACTGTGAGGCACAGCATATAATGTAGGGTAATCTGATTTGCTCAAAGTCCTCTGATTTAAATGTTAATTTCATTAAAAAAATAGTTTCACAGAAATATCCAGAATCATGTTTGACCAAATATCTGGGCACCATGGCAAGATGACACATAAAACTAACCATTACAGTTGCCAAATGGAATTGTTATGGGTCTTTTATTGTTTATATATTTTTCTTTCTGAAATAAAAACAAAACACGATCATTACAAAAAAATCAGAAAATACAGCAAGAATGAAAGAACCAAAACTAACATCCATTATTCATTTCTCTGAGATACTCACTATAATCCCAGGGAAGGATATATTTTTGAAGCTTTTTCTCTTCATATATGAATATAAAATCTATCTTTTTAAAGAAAAACAGGATCACACTGTAACATTGATTGTAAATTACCACAGTTTATTTCGGTAATAAGCTGGGTTTTGAATTTTTCCAGTTGATTTCCTATTGTTGAGCATTTATGTTGTCCTACATTTTTCAGATAACCCAGAGCAGAAATTCACTGGCAGAAAGTAAGTTCAAATGAAACAGCAAAAATATTAGGTGTTTCTCCATATTCTTGATAGAGTGATTAAAAATGCAAAAAAAAAAAAGTTACAAAATCATCCCATAGTGCAATATAATTATCTGTATTCAAATCCTCACATTTTCTTCTTTCAACTAAGGTTTTGTGTTGCCAGTTTGCTTTCATCAGATTGTTTTAAGGTAAATTGCTGAAGCATGATCTAAGGTGGAGAGCCCCAAACAATGGGTTGCAGTTGATGGGAGAGGTTTTTACTGTGTAATTTTTTAATGAGACTCAGATTTAATATCCAATATATTAAACATATGAATGAATGAGGTATTTATTAATGGTGAGATTGAGTTTTCATTCCTACTTGTTTTTTAAAAATTTTACTTTTACCAGCATTCATTATGTATGCCGTGTAAGGAGACATGGAGACCCCCATCCAAAGCTTGGCGTTTGCCACTTTTCCAGAACAAAATTGTCTATATGTGCTCATTATGCCCTACCTGTAAGTGGTCTGTGTCTTCACAGAGAAGGCACTACCATCATTTCTCTCCTCCCTAGGCAGTAGGTTAAATGTGCTGGTGACCCCAATTTTCTACAAGATGGGCTCAGGATCTAAGAGGGAAGAAGTAACTTGGGGGCCTGGGATTGTTGTCAGGTACTGGACCACGGCAGGTTTCCTTCTGTTTCTTCCCCAATCTGTTCACCTTTGCAGCAGCCATGGTGATTTAGTTGTATCTCTTAGGACTCTCTGATAGTGTCTCATTGCATTGAGGGTGAAATCTAAACACCTTCCCAAGGGCTCCAAGACATAACTTGTCTTACACTCTCACCTCTCCAACATCACAGACTTCTTTTGCTTAAGAACACTAGATAGCACCTCGGCACTAGGCTTGGGGCCATTTTAAACACTAAAATTGCCAATAAAAAGCTCCAGTATGCAAAAAACAAAAACATAAAATCCTACCTGGCACTAAATAGACCACAAAGAGTACACTTGTTCACAGTTTCAGAGCTGAAACAAGAAGGCAGAGCGTCTCCTTGTTTGGCCTCAGCTGGGAACACATTCGTTGGATAACTAACATTTTTTGCTGTTCTCCACTTGTCCATGGATGATAACAAAGTTGCTGCAAGTATTGATTTTGGGGTTACAATCAATTTTTGTGAGTAGGCAAATTCAACAATATGGAATTCATGAATAATTAGGATCAATTGTGAATGTAAATTGTTAAGAGCAATACTGGCTTTGGAGTTAGGATACCTACATACTAGTTTCGTTTTTGTCATTAAAGTTCTGTAAAACTTTGGCAAATCACTTTTTCTTTCTGGTCTTCAAGAGGAAGGCCTAGAACTAGGTGACTGCTAAGATCATTAAAGCTCTTGTGGTGGATGAATCTGCCATTTTTTTCTCATGGAGCAGAGAATCATTTCTACTATCATGCACTTCAGAAACACATCCATCACACACTAACACTTTGTTTTTGTGAAGGTTGAGGTCCTGGATGAGAACAACTTGGTCATGAATTTGGAGTTCAGCATTCGAGAAACTGCATGCAGGAAGGATTCTGGAGAAGACCCCTCTACATGTGCTTTCCAAAGGGACTATTATGCAGTAAGTGTGGAGGAAAAGAAAGATTAACATAAGGAAGAAACTCACTTCTTCCCTGAGCTGGAGTTAGTCAAAGAGCTTGGCTGCTGTCTGACTGGCATCTGGTCACACTGCTATTTGTGTAGACACAGTGTTCCCTGAAGAGGGCAGTGTCGCTCAGTGGTTAAGGACTTGGGCTCTTGAGCTGTGGTGTCGGTGATCCTGAAAGATCCTGAAAAATTACTCAACCCCTGGTGCCTCAATTTCCTGCTTTTTAAATGGGGATGAATTTTTAACAGGTAAAAGGAATACAAAGAAGCCAACACCAGAGAAAAATCCCAGACACATTTAAAATTCTCTTATAAATGAATATAAAACAGACTGTGTTTCTGGCACATGTCATGTTATTTTGTAGTTGGCCATTGCATAGCATGTGTCTCCCAGTTAGTTCAGGATCCATGAGATCAGGAACAGGGCATGTTGCATGTTCACTTTTGTATCTCCTGTGGCCAGAACACAGTACAGCACTTAGTCAACACCTCTGGGCAGGAATCTTACCTGAATGGGGCAATGCCCATCAATCCAAAGTTTGCTTTCCAAGGTACTTGCATTCAGATGTTCGAGCTCTTGGGGTGTTGTTACTTAAAAGAGGATAGTTTGTTTTGTTATATGTTTCATGGAACTTTTCACTGCGACTCTGCTTTACAAAGGACCCAAACCGAAGTATCACAAGCATCTATTTCTAATGAAATCTGAGGGCAGAGGAGAAAAGAACACAGTCCTGTGGGGTTCTTTACCACTTTTTTTCTTTTTTTTTTCGTTCAAATGGGAATCGACTCAAGGTAACCCACTCACTGCTCATGGAAGAAATGTTTGCTTTTCCTAGAGACTTGGAATGTGTCGAATACTGAAAAGATATTTAAATATTTCATTTGTTTTTGCCTGATTTATTAGAGAGAGTCTAGCCCTTCCTATAAGCAGCTGAAGATGGAACTCACTGTTCTGCCTTTTCAGCCAACAGCTGTTTGCAGAAGTACTGTGACCATATCTGCTGAGCAGGTGCAGGACGCGCGGGTTCGCTGCAGCTGGTCCTCCATGTCCGAGTCTCACAGCAGCGAAGAGGTAGGACCAGGGCCTGATCTCCTTCCAGATAGCGCCTCTTAAGGTCTGCGTGGGTCTGTGACAAGCAGAGTGGTAGTTGGATCATCACACAGTCATAATACAACCGAGTATACCTACAGCCTCATTTTCCACTTCTAGCCTATTCTTGCGCTCTCCCTCTCTCCCCTTCTCTCTCTCTCTTTCTTTCTCTCTCTCTCTCTCTCTCTCTCTGTCTCTCTCTCATACTTGCTTTTTCTGAGATTTGAGAAGAATTAAGGTAACAATTTGCAAATCTTTAAAATTTTAGATCCAAGTATATAGCTCTATGGCACTGTGGTTTAGTGGAATGAAGAGAGACATTTTTGTCATACTAGAGTTCAAAACTATTTGCCTGCTCTGCAGTCTAGGTCAGGATACTTAACCTTCATTTAACTCTCATGATCCACAGCTTCTTCATCTGTTAAATGACTGTAAAAAGACCACCTTATAGGTTGTTGAATTAGTGGATGAACATAAAAGATCTGGCCTGGTATCTGGGATATAACAGATGTTCAGTATGTGGCAGGACCCTTCTTTTCCCCTCAATTGTATTATAAGTAATTTTCAATAATTCTGGGAAATGAATAATATTAGTATTAGTAATTTATGAATAATAGAAATAAAATTAATATTATTAATGGTCTATCAGGAACCGGAACTGGGCCACAGGAGGAGAGAAACGGGCTGACAGAACTCTGTCTTAGATTCTCACAGGAGTGTGAACCCTATTGTGAACTGCACTTGTGACAGATCTAGGTTGCCCTCTCCTTAAAAGAATCTAACGCCCCCCTCCCCCCTCATCCCCATCCATGAAAAAATTGTCTTCCATGAAACTGGTCCCTGATGCCAAAAAGGCTGGGGACTGCTGGCCTAGGGCAATGTTTGAATATAGGGTAGATGTTCAGTAAATACTTGTATAAATACAAGAAAACTAGGGAAGAAATGAACAGGAATATAATATGAAGTGGACTTTTCTTTAAAGTAAGGATAGAAACATGACATATTATTTGTTCATTCACAAAAGAATAATATTCTTGACAGCCATTTAAAAAGTGTTTCTGCCATTATACAAGTGATTATGTTCAATGTCATTCACTACATCTTATATTTTTATATCTTCATAAAATCATGTCTTTATTCAATTTTTCAAGATTTAATTCTGTAGTAAAAATTATATTAAAAAAGTATAAAATTTCAACTTCAAAAATTACACACAAGTTACTTTTCCCATATTATTAACATATACCCACCTTAACTATTTTGTATGGAAGTCCACTTTAGAACTGGAAAATAATGGAGCTAGTGACTGAGAAGCTCCTATTGCAGAGGATGGTCTTATTGATACAAAGAGAACTGAGCACAGTTTTTTAGGATACTCTCCACAACAATTTTTAATTGAGCACAATCTTATTGGTTGATTCCTTTCACACTGGCAACTTTTGAGGGTCAGTTCTTAGGTGATTTCTGAGCTTTTCATTAAGCCAAAGTTGAAAGTTCTCCTTTTCCTTCTCCTCCTCCTCCTCTTCCTTCTCCTCCCCTTTCTCCTTCCCTCCTTTTCCTTCTCTTTCTCCTCCTTCTTTTCTGTCAGGACAAGTACCAAGGACTTCCTTTTGTAGATTCTATTAAAATATCTAGGAAGTAAAATGTGTTTCACAGTAGCACACTCACACACTGTGGCTCAATTAACACAGAAATGACAAGGATCAAGCATATCATTATATAAGTATTTTGGGAATGCTGATTTTTAGTTTGTATGAGAAAAAAGTGGGAGCAAGACAAACACAGTCTTAGCCTTTGTGGAGTCTTTAGATTAGTCTGGGGGGAAGGCATTCATTAAACAGGAATTACCCTGTCTACCAGGCAAGCATTTGGGACCATATGATAAGAGAAATGCATATCATGTGTGTGTGTGTGGGGGGGAGTCGGAGCTTCCCTAAGGAACTGACATGAAACCAAGAACTGGAGGGTGGGTAAAAGTCAAAACAAAGGGGACAGGGCGTGGAGGGAAGGGGAAAAGATACAGGAGAAATCACATAAGGATACCCTGAAGTGCCAAGGATCCTGGTGGGTTAAAATAAACAGGAGTCCATTATGACTAGAATAAGCAAAATATGGGAAAAGAGGCATAAGGTGAGACTGGAGGTGAACAACAGCAGATCATGATGGTCCTTATGGGTCATGTTGAGGATTCCTGGCTGTATCCTAATGACAGTGGGTGTGATTAAAGGGTGTTAAGTGTGTGAATGAGGGAGGACGTGGATAACAGAATTAGATGACAAATGGATTGGAACTAGGTAAGAATAATTATGAAGCAAATATGGAATAAATAAGAGGTGAGAAAGAATGCTGAACGGGGCTGGAATTTAGCAGTAAATGTTGAGAGAAATGAATTCCAGTTTATTCTGTGACCTTTAACACAAAATTACTTGAATAAATGACCATTTAATTTAACCCCTCTTCCATCTCTGATCTGGAAAATTGATTCTGACTGTTTGCAAAACCCACAAATCTGTTGCAATATTCTTATTGCATAGTGAAGACCACTCTCTTTTCTACCAATTTCAAATTTTGTAAGAAGACTCTGATGTTAAATGAAGCTAGCCCCTAGAACAAACCAGACTTTAAAATAAACTCCTAGGATGCTTGTCTTTAAAGTTTAGGTCATCAAGAATTATGAGCAAATTTATTTTTTTTAAAAGAATTTTCCAACTTAGAGAATTCTGTAATTCAGAAGAAAAAGAAAGAAAGCAGATAGAGATATAGAATACTTCCTGAAAACTCTGAAATCCATTTCTTCCATGAAGCATAAAAGAAAAAGGAAAACAGAGGAAAAAACAGCTGTTAGCCATTTTCGGTGAAATAAATAAAAAACAATAGACTAAGATGAATTTAGTCACAGAGCAAGTAAATTATTGTTGGAAGAAATAAATAGAAGAAATAAAAATGCAAAATCCCAGAGTAATGAAAATGAAGACCACTTGAAAAACATATGAAGAATATAGAAAACTTTCCAAAATGAGAACTATACAGACAGATGGAAGCCATAGCGAATAAGCCCAGAAGTCCAAATTGTGACTAATGAAGACTTAGATCAAGTGGAAACTATCTGGTAAGGACATAATGAGAGAAATTATCCTGAATATAAAAAGTTTTGGCTTTCCATAGAATGATGTCATAACATCATTTCTTAAAAGTATAATATCTATAAAAAATTGAGAAAACAAATCCCTAAATTTGCAAATATTCTTTTCCTTAACCAAATAGATACTTGAATTATGAGTAAATTTTTTAAAAAACAGAAGGTATATTTTTTTTATACCCATCATGTCATGAATCCTTAGGGAACAGGTTCTGGCTGCTCAGACTTCTTTCCATTGGTTCTCACAAAGTGTGCTGTGGGTGAGCAGGCTGGCCCTTCAGTTGAACCCAGATATCTTTCTCTTTGGCTTCCTTCTTTTTCTAATTATTTTTGCTTATGTGTTTCAGCCAGCTATCTCAGCTCTTAGGATGCTTAATAGTCTCAATACCCACATGAATTATCTTCACCATAATCTCGCCCCTAACATGTTTGTTTACAACAGTGCCAACATCATGCTGAGAAACACTGTAGACTCTTCTGGTTTTTTCCATGGTAACGTTTGTGAGGCATTCCTTTTTTGAACAGCACCCATTTCCTTGATGTCTACGATGTTACCTTTCTTGTAGATTCACATGTATGTACTCAAAGGCACCACTCTATGTTTTCTAGAAGTCTTAGAGAACACATATATATGGTGCCTCTTCTTTCTCTGTTTGTGTTCATCACTTTGGCAAATTACTGAAAGATGGCAGTTTCAGCCTAAAAGGTAGGGTGGTTTTATTGTTTCTTTTTCAATTTTAAAAAAGAAATACGTAGAAGATAAAATGTTCTATATGGTACATAAGCACTCACTCAACTTCATAATGGTGCAATCATCATCAAAAGTACAATGCTAAAACTTGTAGTTTGATGCTCTTTTTTACTTTCTCCAACTTTCGGCAAGCGAGCTTGACTTTAGACAAATCCTTCTGATTTGGAGTGAATGGGATTAAGTTTGGCTAGGGTTTCAGTCAAGAAATTCAAAATAGTCCAAAAGCAAGAAACTGAGAAAGAATAACAACAGACAGGCATTTATTAATAATTTATTTATAACCTTTTATTTCAAAACATAGAAATTCAATTAGAAGTAGTCTAAGCCAAATGGAATAAACCCATGAATCACATTTGCAGATAGAAAAGAGAGGAGTTGGTCTTATGGAAAACTCAACTTAGTAACATTCAAAACTCCTCCTTCTCCTTCTTTTTCTCCTCCTCTTCCTCTTCCTCCTCCTTCTCTCTCTTATTGCAGATAAGCCTTCTCCTTGCAGCAGGAAGTAAAGCTGCAAGGTACTCCAGATTCATATTTTCTGAGCTTAGGAAAAGGAAGCATTTCTCTCCAGCTTCAGTTAAACAAATCTCTTGGCATTACTTTCATTGGCCTGGTTTATATCATGCGCTTCTCTTTTTCTTTTTTTAATACATGCTATTTTATTATTTATTTCAAAAATTATATATATTTACTGTGTACAATGTAATGTTTTGACACCCCTCTTTTTAAAATAACATTTTATTGACATATGTTATATACCATACAATTCACTCTTCTAATGTCTAAAGTTCAGTGAGTTTTTAAAATTATATTCACAACAGTTGCCACTATCTAAATCCAGATCATTTTCACCATCCTGAAAAGAAAGCCCATTGTTGGAGACATTAACTCTGTTCCTCATTCCCTACAACCCTGGCAACCACTTATCTATTTTCTGTGTCTTTGAATTTGTCCATTCTGGTCTTTTCTCAAAATGGAATCATAAAATATGTGTTCTTTTGTGACTGACTTATTTCACTTAGCATATTGTTTTGGAGCTTCATGCATATTGTAGTATGTATCAGTGCTTCATTTCTTTGTATTGTCAAATAATGTTTCATTTTATGGCTATACTATATTTGATTTTCTATTCATTAATTGCTCAATATTTGAGTTGTTTCCACCTGTTTGGCTATTGTGAATAATTATGTCAGGAACATTCATATATAAGTTTTTGTGTTTACATATGTTTTTTAATTCTCTTAGAAGTAGAATTGCTGGATGATATAGTAACTCTATCTTTAACTTTTAAAAACTGTTTTCCATAGCAGCTGTACCGATTTTACATTTCCACCAGTAATATATGAGGGTTTCACTTTCTATACATTCTTGCCTACCCTTTTATTGCTTGTCTTCTTTAAAATTTTAGCCATTCTAGTGAATGTGAAGTAGTATCTCATTGTAGTTTTCATTTACATTTTTCTAATGACTAATGATTGACCAATGTATATCTTCTGTGAGAAACACCTAGTCATTTGCTCATATTTTAATTGGGTTATTTATCTTTTAGTTGTTGAGTTGCGTGCAAATATTTTCTTCCACTCTGTGTGTTGTTTTTCACTTTCTTGATGGCGTCCTTGAACAAAAGTTTTAAAGTTTGATGAAACCTGTTTTTTGTATGAGTCTTACATTTAGGTTTATGATTCATTTTGATTTAATTTTTGTAGATGGTGTGAGGAAGGATCCCAACTTCATTCCTTTGCATATTAATATCCAGTTGTACCAGCACCATTTGTTGAAAAGACTATTCTTTCTCCCCAGAATTTCTTTGTATGCACCCCCCCCCAAAAAAAACAATCACTAATGGTGGTCTGGAGATTAACTATGACAGTCAGGATGGAGAGGGTCACAGGTAGGTAACCCAGACTCTTGGCAGAGAAGTTATGTGCCAAGCAGCCACCTTGCTTTGTGACTATTGTGTGGACTTTCAGTGGTTTCATGAAAATCTTTGTGGGTAACTTTTTCTCCTGACCATTTTATGAGGACTTCATAGAGAAAATATTCTGAAATTTGGTCTAACTCTATCAAGGTTCTATCTTTTTGGTTTGTAACATTTGGAAGAACATTCTGAGTACAGTGTGAAACTTCTTGGTCAATAAACTTCACATAAATTGCTCTTCCCCATGTGCTTTTTTAAACATACATGTTCAATACCATATAAAGTTATTTAATATAATATAGTGCCTTATTTTATTAAAATGAATTATATATTAGGGTCTTCTAGACAACATTTACATTTTTTACAGTGTTTATCTTTTTTTTTCTCTTTCATGTGCTGTGAATACTGATGACTAAATTTCTTTAGATGATTTTTGGGGACATGTTGGGATCTCATAGATGGGGAAACAATTATCTATTTGGTAAGTTAAGATTTTTTTCTTCTTATTTTTTTTCCTGAAACAACTTCATACTGCAGCTCTTTGTTAGTGAGTAATTTAAAACTAGCAATATCTATACATAAACTTTGAACAATCGCTGCAATTACAGAAAATTGACATTTACTTTGCTTTTGCCCCTTTGTTACTACAAGGAGCTAGTACTAGGTAATAATAATACAACTGTTCATTTAGTTTTTTTATGTTTACAATGGACCTTTTTTATGCATTACTCCATTTGATGGCCCCAACAACTCTGTCAAATAGGCAGAACCGATGTTGGTTTTCCACTTAAGAGGGTTCCATAGCTTGAACATGTTTTTTCTCTCTTGGGTGCACTACCTAACTTAAGGGCCCATGCGTACCATAATGTGTAGTTGAGAGGATCAAGACTAAACCTTATCTATCTGGTTGGGGCTGAGCTCTGTAGTCCTCTATCCATGCAGCTACAGCTGACTATCTCTTTGAGTGTCTTGGTTAGGGGAGGAAGGGCTCTCCTTTTTTTCTTATTTGTTTGGCCTTTAATTTAAAATGAGATTGGGTTAGTGTTCTAGAAGTCATTCTTACGTTCCTAAGAGTTTTTCCTATTAGTGTTGATAGTAGCAAAACTCTTTGGTGATTTCCCACTGATTTTTTGCTTAGGAAGTATATTTGTGGCACCAATAATAAATTCATAGAATATTCCAGAAGGGGCAGAGGAGTCTTGCCTTACAATTGTTACTGTGTTACAGGTGTCATTCCTGACGAGTCTGTAAGTGACCAATTTTATGACCGATCACTTGGTAAGTGCTCTATTTCTTGCTGTACCACCAGACTCTTCTCTGATCAGTTCAGACTCTGCTGAGAAATCCTATTTCATTGGAGTCTCCCATTTTTCAGGGGTCAAGTACTAGAAATATGAAATCGTTTAATTAAAAATGAAAAGACCAATAATGTATTGACTTGTTTTGCAAATTATCAAAAAGGTAACCTCGTGGTGATAACTCATTTAAAAATTACCAAGAATCAAAATATCACATCTGGCTCTGGAAGTCAGCCTTTTTTTTTTTTTCCCTCAACTCTGGAGCATTGTTTGAATAGTGTAGACTCTAATGATCTCTTCTTTGTCATACACAAACTTCTCAGTAAGTGGATGAAACCAACCGTTATTTTGTCCCTCCCTTGTACAGAACATTTTTCTCATTTAGGCTTCATGACAGCTCTATAAACCAGGTGTGTTATCTGCTTATATAGACAAAGAAAGGAGTAATAACTCATGGAATTAATTAGCAAACACAATATACCTATTCTGTACTAATTGCTTGACATAATTTTCTCCTTCAATGCCACAACCATCCTGTGAGCAAACTGAGGCTTAGTGAGTTTCTGTAACTTACTCAAAGCTACACTGACAATATAGGACTTTAGTCCAGGCAGTGAGCTATAAAGGCAGGACTTTGATCAGCTCTATCAGACTCTAAAGCCTGTGCTTTTATCCATGATGTTTCCCAGAAGAATTGTGAAATCCCATTCAACATTCACTGTGCCTCATGAAAATTAAAAACACGGATATGTATTATTATTTCAATGAGCTTAATATCTGATCATCAAACATACTTCCATTTCTTTGAAATGCTAGCGCTTATAATCTGAGACTTGATTTTTTAAAAATGTCCATTTTATGCCTTCTCCAAATTGTGCCTTTGGGAAAATATACCCTTGGTATGACCACTACTGAAATGTTTTTATGAGCTCTTCTTTGGGATTGCCTTCAGTCTATGGCCTCTTCTTTTGAATCTCTGTAATGGTGGCAAACATTTGCCCTTAGATTTGTTGTTGGAAATAGTCAAAAGCCATCTGGAAATAAATTTGTTGAATCAGATTAATAGCCAACTTGGATGCATTGATAGTCTATTGTATGTAGTCCAACATTTAGCAGCTTAAAACAACAAATTTTTATTATCTCATAGCTTCTGAGGGTCACGAACCTAGGAGCAACTTAGTTGGGTGGCTAAGGGTTTATCATGAGGTTGTAGACAAGATGTAGATGGGGATTGTGATCTCATCCAAAGCTTGACTAAAGCTGAAGAGATCTGATCCAAATTCACTCATATGGTGTTGGAAGGCTATGGTTCTTCATGAGCTATTGGACTGAAGGCTTCAGTTTCTTCCCATATGACCTTTTCATAAGGCTGTCTAAATGTCCTCAAAACATGATAGCAGGATTCCCCTAGAGAAAATAATCTGAGAAAGAGAATGAGTAAGCAAGAGAGCACCTAAGACAGAAGACAGTTTTTTATAACCTAATCTTGGAAGTGATATATCATCACTTCTGCAGATTTTATTAATCATACAGACAAATGGTGACCCAGTATGGTAGGGAACTTCCCAGGAGTGTGAATATTAGGAGGCCATCTTGGAAGTTGTCATTTGGGACTAAAAATATTGTGTGGATATAAATTAATGTGACAAATCCTTTTGTCTCAGAAGAGGTTTCTAAGTCAAAATCTAAAAACATGTTGGGCCTTGGGGGCGTTATTGACGCAGATGTGCAGCCATCTCAGAGACTGCTTTGAACATGACAATTTAATTTAATCCAACAAATATGTGTGACAAGCACTGGGCAGATCCCTTGGAAGACTGAAAGATAAATGTGACAGTTCCTACCCTCGAGGGCTTACAGTAGTGGTTGAGACATCACACGTGATAATACAGAGTGGGGTGAAATGAATACTGAGCCTAGCTGTAACACAATGCAGGAGAGAGGGAGAGAAAGCTGGTTAAAGAAGTTGAAATTGTCATATCCCTCAGGTATTGTCTTGACAGATGGATTCAGGTTATGCTGGTCAAAATCCTTCTTGTTAATTTATAATCACATAGTCCATGTTGTCTCAGATCTTGGTATGACTGACAGAGTCTATGCCTCTACTTTCTATCTTTAGAGATCATGAGGAGGGTTTTTCCTCCTGGAAATAGAAGATACCCAAATCATCGGCACAGAGCAAGAATAAATACTGGCTTTGAGTAACAGCCTTGTGGTAAGGAAACACAGTTAAACTGTGTATTTAGAAATAGAAGTTACTTGGCCTGCATGCCTTCAAACTGCTGACCTCCATATCTGCAATATGCTATGTGAATCTCATCTTGCTTTTCTGCCTTCTCTTGCGTTCTCCCCAAGTCTGTTCCTCAATTGTCTCTTCAACCTCACGCACCCTCTATCTTTTCCCCATGGTGTTTATATCTGTTACTACTGATGTAATCAAGTCTCTACACTTTAAGAGCAAATAAACAACAGTCAGCAAGAGAACAGCCCCTTCTTTTGACCCATCTCACCCATCCTAGGAACTGCTTTCCTTCCATCTTTCCTTCCCTGTTAAACTGCTTGACACAACTGTGGTCTCTACTGCCTCAACCTCCTCATCTCCTATCCACTTTTCTGCTTTTTTGCAGACTAAATTTTACCCATTCAAATCCATGAGATCTGATCTGACTTTTTGTAAATGCTGATGACCATTTGTATGATCTCCTCAGGCCAATTCTTTCCATAGTCTATAGATTACTCTGTTATCTCTTCCTCTTGCTTGACTTTAACTATCACTGATGTGTAATTATTTCCAAATATGTGTTTCTTATCACACTCAACCTTGGGATCCAGGCCCTTATATCAACTGTCTATTGGAGGTGGTTGCCTTGGGTGAGCTCCTAAAATTCCACTAGCTTCCTCTGCCAAAATTCCTCTTTTTTTTTTAATGGAAAGCATTACCATCCAACTAATTTACTCAAGCCAAAAATCTAGGGGCATCATTGAGCCCCCTTCTCCTTTATCTTCTACCAACACATACAGGGGTCCAGTCTTGATTTCACCCACACGTTTCTTCTGGCATAGGACCATTATTTCATTACTGTCACTACTGAACTATTGATTGCATTCTTGTCAGGTCCTGATCCCTCATTGTCTACCTCGTGTGCTGACCTCAGGCTTATCATGAAACACAGAAGAGAGACCGATACTCCTCCACATCAACCCTCTGGTACTCACTTCACCCACAGAATAAGACAGCGGTGCAATCGCCAGACACTGAGCCAAGACGAGGAAAAGTCTAATTTATCACACTCACACTGAGTTTCAGAGTCTCACATGTATATAAATTTTCAGTTAAAGGGATGATATTGGAGCAAACATAGCTATCGTGAAGCGCACACTTAAAAGAAAGCTTAAGATGCAATTGTAATGTTGATTCAGTGCATAGTTGTTTTTACATGCACACACACAAGTTAATAGTAAAGCTTGAGCATTCACAGGCTTTGCAGTTTACATAACACAGCATACTTTCAGGATAAAGTTCAAACTCCCCAGTGAGGCTCACAATGGCCTTGATGCCCTTGCTCTGCCCACATCTCCAGCCTCATCTGTCTCAAATCCACCTAGATTCTCAGCTCCAGCAGCCCTGAAATAATTGCTGTTCATCGGCTGCAACCTCTTCTGGGACCATCCACCTGAGTAGTTCTGCCTCATTGTTCAGATCTCAGCTCAGTTGTCTAACTCTGACACCACAAATCACTAACACCAAATCAGAGATGGGGTCCTCCTTTGGGCCTCTGTAGAGTCCTCATCACAGGGCACTGGAATTAGTTGTTTCCTGTCTGCCCATCTGACTCTACCAAACTCCACAAGAGCAAGGATCAAGGAACTTCATTTGCCATCATCTCCTAGTGCCCTGCACACAGCCTGGTATACTCAATAAATAGCACTCAGTAATATTATTTTTAAGTGAATGAAATCCTTCGCTTTAGGTTCTTGAAATTCTTTGACCAAAAAAATCAGTTAAGCATAGTATAATTAATTTTTAGCCACTGAAATTTGAAAGACGTTAACTGACTTTTTACTAAAATAGAAGGAAAATTTACCAGTGAGAATGTCTTGGATGAAAGATGCAAATGGTAGGTTTTCTTTTTAATCCATGGTACTCTAAAAATAAAACCAGCTCCATACCAAGATCAAGAAACTACTCATTAAAAAGAAACAGACTCATCATATTCCTTTTTCATAAATATAAATCATTTCTTTTTTCTTCATATAACATTCTGGAGTTAGGGGCATCAAGGAGGAAAGAATTTGTAGTGGATAGGCTATATTTTGTTTATTAATAATACCATAATATTGGGTGTATATACGTATATATATATATTGCAATTTAAATGTGTCATTTGATTTTTATAAAGTGTCAATCGCTTAAAACACATATTTTTTGTTTTGTTTGAGTCAGACTCTCACTCTGTCGCCCAGACTGGAATACAGTGGCATACACATGGCTGCCCCAGCATTGACTTACTGGACTTAGGCGATCCTTCCACCTCAGCCTTCCAGGTAGCCAGAACTACAGGCATGTGCTACCACACCTGACTAATTTTTTTGTTTTATTGTGGAGACAAGGTCTCACCAAGTTGCTCAGGCTGGTCTCAAAACATGCATTTTTAAAGGCAGCACAGACTAAATACCGCAGCCCTCACCTGAATATTGATTTTGACTGAAGTCCCTCTCAGGTCCCTGTCCTCCTGTGACTTTTAACGGGGCAGATTTCTACACCATGGTCTGAGTTTCCCAGAATCATAGAATGAGATTGGTAAGGCTGGTACCGTGTATCTAGTGTGGAAGCCAATCTGGCAGGGTCTAGAATCAGCTGGTCTGCTTCCGAGCCTCCTCTTCCACCTGAAATGGTGATCCAATCCCTTAACCTCTTGGAGCTCAGTTTCTTCAAAGGTTTATTTATTTATTTTACTAATTTTTGTCCTTACTGGACCTTGAGTTCCTTGAGGATGCATTACCTTGTTATCTTTGTTAATTATTTTAGTTTTATAATAAGTAAAAATATCATTAATGATATATCAATACAAAATTACTAATAATGATATCTTTTATTAATTTCATAATGCTAAGAAGAATGTATAGAATATAATCAATTACATTGGGAGAAAAGAATGAATGAATGCATGGTCAAAACCAAGATAACTATTTTCAAATTGTGAATGCTATTTTTCTTATGGCAAGCACTTGGGGGCAGAGACTTTGGCTCATTTATTGTGGAATCCCCAGAACTGTAAACACTGTTATAGAATTCTTTCAGGTTGCTAGAAAATGATTTAATATATGAGTGGACAGTAAAATGTGATATTTAGACTAATAGATCTGAATTTTGTTTTTAATTTGTTACTCTAAAATAGGAAATATGGAAAATCAGGTCTCAGTTCTCATGTTGAAAGGAATCTGCTTGAGAGACTTATACTTTCTTGATCTTTTTAACTGGACTAATTCTGACTTTGCAATTAGGTAGCAGGCAGAAGACCCTGGGCATCCAAACCACAGCAGCATGAGCGATACATCTTTCTATATGTTTGCAGTGTTAATTGTTAGCATGAAGCTCCTAAATTATGCCCAAGAGCAGCAAAGGAGGCAATTCTTATTGATGCCTTTTTGTCTGTAAGGATAGGGTGAAAAGAATTAGTTTATGATTTTATGTTTCTCCAACAAATGTTTATTAAAAGCCTGCTTCATGTCTGACTCCTACACCCATAAAGATCACAGTTCTCAAGTGTGCTTGGATCTGTGTTTGGATCCTTTACATACATTGCTTTAGAGAAATCTTGCAACAATCTACACGAATGTTTGTTATTATTGCTATTTTTGCTTTGTAGATGAGGAAGCAAAGGCATTTGGAGGTCCCTGTGCTCAGAGGTAGTATTGGGACAGGGGTTTAGTGCTTGATGCCTGTCTGTTTCCAAAACCTCTCTGTTTTCTTCCTGTTTTTTCAGAACGTTAGAGGGCAACACTTCAATTAAGAAACATTCATCATATGTTGGGTGAAACTAGAAATGTAGTCACTGACTAGAAGGCAAAGATTTTAATTGGTCGGAACTGTTAGCAACATACCTGCCTGCCATCAACTGGCGCCTAAAACCTGAGCCACCTCAGTAAGCTTGCTGAGTGATTTAGATATTTGGGTATCAGACTCATTAGTGACAACTTCTTGTCATGATCTCTCACCTACTGAAGAGAACCAGAGCCCTCATAGAAGATAGAAAAATCCACCTAGTGCTCCAGGGGCAGAAACTTGGCAGTGTGCAGCTATATTTATTTACGCTTTACTCTGACTCACATTCACTGCATATTCCTATCAATTACTTCACCAAGTACAGTTGATTCTTATTATTCAAGGTAATTATGGCCTATAAAGTTGTGAACATTGAATTAGTGAATACCAAACATTTGCTCCTACAGGAAATACAGGAGTAGGATTTTTTTGAGCTTCTATTCACAACATTTTCCTCAACAGATCAGTATACAACCTTGTTTTAAGTGTGTTTTTGTTTAGGTGTCTTATTTAATAAATACTGTTGTCTCATTAACATTGAACTCATGGCCAACAGCACTATAATTCATGCCTGAATGGAGCTCATCTAACGTAAGGATTTTTTTCTATAAGGCACTTCACAGCCTTCTTGCACTGAGAAACATTTGACAGCACTACACTCGGGGGCTATTTTAAACAGTGAAATCATCAACAAAAAACACAAGAATGCAAAAAAAGGCACTAAATAAACCACAAAAAGGATACTTGACAGCACAAGAGCTGAAACAAGAAGGCAGAGCATTGCCTTGTTTGACTTTAGCTGGAAACATATAGGAAAGATGATTCAATGTTTTTGAAGTTCCATGCGTGTCTGAGAATAAACAAGAGAGCACCAATCGTATTGATTTTGAAATTTCAAATAAATATCAGTGAGTAGGTGAATTCAAAAATGTGGAGTCTATGAATAATGAGGATTGACTGACTTCCCTGCTTTGGAGCCACCTCTTCTCTGCCTCCTCACTCCACACATCCAACACTTTTCTACTGAACTTCTTGGCTAAGTTTTACGCTGATGACCGTTCCTTCTTTCCTGAAATCCTCTGAGCTCTTAGATTTTACTGCCCTCCCCTGGCTTTCTTCTCGAACCAAGACTTCTTCCTATTTTTTATAGATCCCTCTTCATCCTGCTGCC